CCATTTCCTCTGCTCCTGGCATTCGTTGGTGGCCAGAGAGAAGAGATCAGCGCCTGCCCCTCCTCTTCCCCTTGGGAGGAAGTTCTAGATAACAAGATACTCAAGGTCAGGCTTGATGGGGCCCTGAGCAACCTGCTCTAGTGAAGATGTCCCTGCTCACTGCAGGGGGTTGGACTAGATGACCTCTGAGGGTCCCTTCCAACCCAACACATTCTATGACTCTAAGAGGCACAGGCCCAGGGGCCACAGTGCTGGTGGCCCGATGCACACCATGGGCCACCATGGGCAGGGTACAGCAGATCTTCAGCAGACAAAAAACGGGTAGTGCACATATACAGGTATTGTCTAATTCCATTTCTATTTGATTTCCTTTTGATTATTTAATTTTGTAAATAATAATAATTAAAAAAAGTTAGACACCTTGTTTTATATGCATTTTTTTTCCCTTGGATTTTTTTTCAGCAGCAGTCCAAATTGCCCGCACTGAGATCTGTAATGCTGTATGTAGCACATCACATTTCACAGCACGGGATTTGATGTCTCTTTCAAATGCTTCAAATTGTGGAGTTTATAGTTTCTGCTGACAGTGGCAGTTGATGTTAGAAATTCTTCAAGGCTGCCAGTTATTCCAGCAGGGCTCTAAAGTGCTAGGAAAGCACTTCCAAATGTTGCTGTTAAAGGTTATAGAAAGGTACTGGAAAAATTGGCACACTTCTACCAATCCTGACCAGACTTTTGTCTTGCCTTACAACCTCCACCCTTGCTAAGACTTAGCCCTTGTCTAAGTCCCTCCCCTCACTACAATAACCATTTAATTGGTCTGAGGCTTGTCAGAGGTTGTCTAAGACTTACCGCAAGGCTTTTCTGACTGCAGTAGGTTCAAAACCAGCATCAGTCTTTGTATAGAAGGGTTCAAGTGTCAGGAATAGAGCTGAGAGTCAAGTATTGGAGAAGATAGTAATGAGCACGGGAATAATGAGCTATTAGCAATTGTCTTGGAAGGCCAGAATCTCACTGCAGTTCTCTCCCTCAGTCCCTGAGCTGGACCGAGGGCTTGTGAGCCCATCACTAACCAGGCTGGATGCATCCCCTAAAGCAAAAGCTTCCCATCTGTGGCCTGAGGAACACACAAACCCGCCGGATGGTGCAAAGGCTCTACTCAGTTTGGCTGCTACAGAGCCTGCAGGTCCCATCTAGCCAGAACAAAGGGTTAAGAGGAACATTGCTTTTTGTGGCAGGATGCTGTCCATGTTTCCCGATGAAACCATGTGCTGTGGACTCAATGCCCATGCAGGGAGAAGGCACAAAGGACCAGCAATGCCTCATTTTTCCTGGGTTTGATCTCTGCCCTGAGGATTCAGCCCACGTGGATTCACAGCCTCACAATGGCACCGAGTCGGCGAGCTGTGACAGCCTTGCTCTGGAGGGCACACGACAGAGGGACTGCTGGGAGATCACAACGTGATCCTCAACTTCTGCTGACACAACAGGAACCTTTCAACCTGAAGAGCTGCGAGCTGAGCTGGTGGAAGCTGATGTCTCATCAGCCATGGCTGCCCAGGAGCGAGGCAAACAGCAGGCAGAGGAATGGAAATGGCTTGAGGCTGCCTCGGGTGCAGAGCAGGTTAGTGTGTGCTGGGTAAAACAGTGCAAAGGCTGGGACAGCTTCACCCTGCTGTGAGAAACAGAAGCACCTCTGTCTGGGGACTCCATACGGGACAGCTGTGTAGTCCTTTGGGTCACGCTGGGGACTGACAATCGCCCCCTACACAGATCTGCCTGCTTTCCTCACCACCAACTGAGCACCAACAAATTTGTTGCAGACATGGCTGTAACTGGAAGCAGCGGCTGCGCTGGTAAACACAGCTCTTTGGTATGAGGCTCCTTTAAGAGAGTTGCAGGAAGGAATTTAAAAAAAAAAAGAGAAGTGGAGTGAAGTGGTTACCAAAGCTGCCAACAACAGTGCCAGAGAGCCTCGGGGGGCACCAGGACAGCCCAGCGTCACATGCCTAATGCATCCCGTCTCCAGACTTCCTCGCCCGCGATGTACGTGGCTTGCACATACAGACCGTCATTCAGCATCAGGAAATCTGCATCGGACGAGAGAGAAAGGAAGCAGCTGTCAGAGAAATGGAGCAGCTGAAGCTGGCTGGGAGGAGCTGGGCTCAGTGGGAGAGAGCTTCTTCCCACCCCAGAAGCAGCAGCAGGACAGCAGTGTGGTGCCACCCCTGCTATGGCAGCTCTGCTCCATGCTTGGCTGAGATGTGGGGGTCCCTCCAAAGGGCAGCCAAGGGAAAAACGACTGGAGCAAAAGTTCAGAGCAAATCCCAGGCAGAGGGAGTCTCTCTGCATTTCCCACTGAAGCAGGGGATGAAGATGCATTTGCAGCAGTCCCTGCTTTGCTCCAACACCTAGGAGCCCTCACACTGTTTCCCCCATACCAGTACCTGCTCTCACCATACCAGTACCTGCATCGGAGTCATAATTTAGTGTCCCCTTTTTGTGTTCAATCCCGAGGAGCTGGGCAGGATGCAGAGACGCTGCCTCCAACGCTGTCTCTACCGAGCACCCTGGGACAGAGAAGGGGGAGGCATTAGGGCAGCAAACAGCCCCGTTGCCAGAGCAGCCCCCTGGCTAAGGCAACTGACAGCCTGGCAGGGACCCGAGCTGGAACACCCTTGTCACAGCCATATGGAGCTGTGGAGGGGAGACATCCCGATGAGAGACAGCGGGAAGAGGAGAACTGAACACCTCGGGTATGGGGAGAGGAAAATCATTGACCTTTGTGAAAAAGGAGCAGGAAAGTTCACCTCTCATTAGTGCTATGGGTTAAAATAAAACCAAGGCCCATGCTGCTGATCCCAGCCCTTCTCATTGTCTCAGGCAAGAGGGAATGTTTCCTGGTGAAGCGGACACAGCTGGAAAGAGCAAGACCCCCTTCCCAAGTCAACGTAGGGAGCAACAGCCTGTGGACAAGGCTCACTTACCTGTGGCTTCTTGGAAGTGTCGCACACACGTGTCCATGGTGGCCACACTACCACTCAGGGTCTTTGTGCCTGGGAAAGGAACAGGATGGCACTAAGCAGGTCCCACAACCCATAGCAAGGAGAAGCGGGGTGGTGGGAAAGCCTAATGTGACCAAAAGGGGTAGAAATCCTGGGTGACACGAGGAGTGAGTTGAAGGGCCTGCAGCCATGGCTGCCAAGTGACAGAGCAAGGCGAGAGCCTGTCCTGGCAGCGCAGGGAGAGGTACCAGGATGTCACCCTGCAGCTCCACCACAAGACCAGCTAGACTGGGCGAAACTCTTAACTCACAATGCAGGCACCTGCTGCCAGAGACAGAGGAAGGGAATAGAGAGAAGAATGATCATTCAGAATATCATCCCAGTCTCCAACTGCTTGCAGCTTAGGGAAATTTGTTAGCAAGAAGTGCTGGTGTTATAGTAAGGACAAGGGACAGTACGTATCTGTGGGATTTCTCTGTCCTTTCTGACCACACTGGAACCTCTACCATGCATGACGTTGTGCAACAAGGTGTCCAGAGGTGTTGCGGACAGCTGAAAATTGACAGATTCCTCCTCGCTCCACCAAGACAGGGCAATCCCCCCCTTCAGGAGGTGCCTCATTCTCCTCAGGGCCAAGTCACTGCAGAGCCATGAACCAATCAGGCACCAAAACCCAAGCAGGTGCCACAACCAACAAGCACTGCAAGGTGTGCGGGGCTCCCCAGGAACAGACACGAGTGGCTGCGCTCCCCCAGCTCTTTTGCAGGATGGCGCTTACCTGCAATGTAGGTGTTCAGCCCATCGATCTCCACCACCTGCTGACCCAGTGTGTGCCGACCCGGTGCCAGCCCCATGCCAGCGATCGCATCCGTCACCAGCACCAGGCCTGAGGAACGCACGGAAAGAGGCTGCGTTAGCTTTGCAGCTGCCCCTGCTGCAGCTCCGAGCACTGTGCCATGCTGGTCCTCCCAGAGAGGAGCCAGCTGTGTCAGACCGAAGCACGAGGGCTGGTGGACCAGCATATGTGGCTGTGACCTCTTTCAGGCAGCAAGGGCAGCACATCCCAGAACTTGTGCAAGTGTTTTGTGGGAGATGGCGCAGCGCTCGGGGAGGCTGGTGACACTGCGTGCGACCGGCATGGCTCACCTTTGGGG